GATTGAACTGGACTATACTGCCCCCAATCCGAGACTTTGTTCAGCAAAGACTCGACTTCAGACACAAGGTTGTCCCGGGTACTTGGCGACGTTTTCCCGAGAAATATTGACACGGCCGGTATATAAGGCATCACCAGTGTTGTCGTCTGCATAGCAATAAATGTTACCAGTTTGCAACATATCATTGATATGCAGGAGAAACAGCGTTGGTGATAGCACGCAGCCTTGTGGAACACCAGCGTTGATATGCTTGAAATCAGAGCATGCACCGTCTACTGCGACCTTGATGCTCCGATCAGCCAGGAAACTGGTGATCCATTTGCACAATTTCCCGGGAAGCCCGTAGGATGGAAGCTTCGAAAGAAGCGCTTTGCGCCAGACCCGATCGAGGGCCTTCGCTATGTCCAAACTAACGGCCAATGCCTCCCCCTTGGACTCTACTGCCTCCGCCCATCTATGAGTCAAGTAAACCAGAAGATCACCAGCTGATCGACCCCGACGAAAACCGTACTGGCGGTCACTAATCAGCTGGTGATCATCAAGGTACCTCATGAGCTGACAGTTTATAATGGATTCCATTATTTTGGAGAACAAGGAGGCGAAAGCGATAGCTCTGTAGTTGTACGGGTCTGAGCGGTCGCCTTTTTTAGGGATCGGGTGGACCAAAGCTGTCTTCCTTGGGAGTAGGAGTAGGAAAAGACGCGTTATAACCGGTGCCAACTCCGGAGCACACGTCTTCAGCACAATGGGAGGGACTCCATCAGGCCCATTCGACTTGCTGACGTCTAGGAAGAAGAGTGCTTTGCGAACCGAGCACTGTGTAAACCGCAGATCGGGCATCGAACACTCACACCGGATGGTCGGCGGCGTATTCCTCCCGTCATCTAGAGTCGAGTTGGACGCAAAGAGAGAGCTCAACAGATCGACTTTCTCCTTTGCGACATGGGCCAGTGAGTCATCCTCTCTGTGCAGAGATGGAACAGATGGCTGACTGAAGTTCCCTTGGACAGCCTTGGCGAGAGACCAGAATGCACGGGTCTCCAAAGGAAGGTGAACAAGCTTCTCGCCAATTCTGCCGATGTGCTCAGACCTTGCTTTGGCAATGACGCTTTTGAAGAACCTGGCGGAATTATACTTATTTTTAAGAGCGTTGGTGTTTACATCCCGAGACGTTGATGCGTCAGCCCAGGCCCGGTAGCACTCCTGCTTATAGCGTGATGCTATTTTACAGGAGCGACCAAACTATGGCTGGGATCTGCCTCCGATGGGCACCACAGAGGATGGAATAAAAAGTCCCATACCCTGAAGTACCACATCAGCAACAGAATCGGCAACAACGTTGGGATCATCCGGCGAGAAGCAAACCCGCACCCAAGGTGGGATGCAAAAAAAGACCGCATCCCGTCTCAATCGGCCGACCTATAATGCCAAACACGGCGGCAAGCTGCAGATCGCAACTGTGATGGGAGCGTGAGTGGCACTTAGAATACTTAAAAAAAACATGCATGAGTGTCGTTGGAACACTCGGTTGGAACAAAGTTCCTTTAGTAGTGTTTTTTTAAATACTAGTAATGCTATTAAACATTACTAATATTCCTTAAACTACTTCTGGTTAGCTTAATATGCTTGTGCTAGAAGTAGTGAATGACAGTAGTCGAATGGTCGATTCGAACCCACAACCTTTTGAGTTCTCGGTCCGCGAATTAATCTACTGACGCTTCTAATATATTATTATTGATAAACGTATTATATTATTGATTAACAAATACAAATGAATGAATTACTAGCGTCTATTAAAACGAAGCGTTATTTAAAATAAAATAATATTTCTTTCATAGCAAGATAATAAAAGTGCGAGGGCCGTTGCCAAAGCCGTTTACACTACTTATATTATTTACTCAGAAGTAGTCGTGACGGAAAATCTTACACTTTTTCGAGAAAAGGCGAGGCGAGCCTAGCCCACATCCGCCAAATTCGTATCGTCCAATAAAGAACTTCGTTCCAATAACGCATTTGGAATTTAAAAGATAATAGACAGAATGTTTAATTATTCTGAAGCTTCTGCAAATTTGGCCGGTTATTGCAAAATAACCCTGTATATTTGAACTTAAATAATAAAAAGATTTCCTTATATTATTTTATCTATGGGATAATTTTTACATTGCTTTTACACAAGTTTTCTATAGTAAGTTTCTATCAGTTAAAATACAGTAATAATATTCTGGTGGCGCATACAGAGGCAGCCTGCGTTTCCGGTACTAATTATCGTATTATTTTCTCTGTCTGCAACTGTAAGCCCACGTTAGAATGCGGCGTTGTGAGACGCTAGTATGAAGCTTCCACACTCTTGCTTACTCTGGTATACCAGACTTATAAGTCTAACCAAGGGAATAAGCTGAAATAGAAGCATACCTATTCCAATTTTGTAGTTTTTTTTTTAAATTCCAATGTTGACTCATTCCTCGTTACAAAGTAATTGTATGTGGATGGAAGAAGGCAATTTTTATCCATCGCATCAATCTGTAACATTCCACTGGCATAAACATAGGCCCCTCCTAAAATTTCAACAGTTGTCTGGCAAGATTCTAAGAGATATTTTAGATTTACAAAATAAAAGATTTACAAAAAAGGTTCTCGAGTGGCATCCTCGTACCGTTAAGTAAGCGAAGTCTAAAGCGGCCCCCCACTAGATGGAGTGACGTGCTGGTAAAAGATGGGAAAAGTTGATAGATGCAGGTGACTCAGACCGTCTTTGTGGTGTTCCTTGGGGGAGGCCTATTTTAAGCAGTGGACTTGTTATGGACTGTAATGATGATGATTATCATGATGATTAATTAATGTTATTATGATTAAATTCACTTAAAAAGTATAAAAATATTAGCAACACACTCGTAGTATAGGAGAGATGGGAATATTCCTGCCAAGTTTATTTTCATTTATTGTTTATTGTTGTACATTACCCCTCAATAGCTTATCTAAGTATGCCATATAACAATATTGTATTGAAATAATGATTATCTCTATTTGGTTTCTAGTACATGTAGATAATACATATGAGTAATCACAATGTGGTTCGTAGGTGTGGCACAAACAGATATAAGATATAATGTAATAAAATAGCGATATCATTTCAACAGAAATTTTTATACTTCTTGTTACCTTTTCAATTCCTAATGACCTTTCAAAGTTTTGAAAGGAAAACAAATCTCTTTAATTTAAAATTATTATACCATATATTACTTTTATTGAAAACTTACAATATTGCATATACAAATAAATATAATAGAAGTGTCTGTTTGTAATGTTAAAATGATAGCTTTTTACTAAATGCATATGAAAGTATATACGGTACTAATAACAAAAACAAACATATTTTTTTTCGTTTGTTCCGGCTAATCTCCGAAACGGCTGCACCGATTTTGACGGGACTTTCACTAGCAGACAACTGTTGTTATAAGGAGTAGGATACTTTTATATTAGAAAAATAATTAGGGTTCCGCGAAAAAAAATTAAAACCCATTAAATTGTAGTCAATTTCACCCGGGCGAAGTCGCGGTTGTCCAGAAGACCAAAGAGTACAATCTGCCACTTTGTCTTGCGTATGTAGACTATGAAAAAGCCTTTGATTCCGTAGAAATTTGGACGGTACTGCAGTCCCTACAACGGTGCCAAGTGGACTGTCGGTATATCGAAGTGCTGAAGTGTTTGTACAGTAGGGCTATGACGATGGCTATTCGAGTACAGAACCAGAGTACGAAACCTATCCAACTGCAGAGAGGTGTAGACAGGGTGACGTAATATCCCCGATACTCTTCACCGCTGCATTGGAACACGTTTTCAAGCTACTGGACTGGAAAGGATACGGAACATCAATGGCGATACATCACTCACCTTCGATTTGCCGACGATATAGTCCTTATGGCAGAATCGCTGGAGGACCTAAGCACTATGCTCAATGACTTCAATAGATTCATCTTAAGAGCTATCCCAACGGATAGGTCTTAAGATGAACATGGATAAAACAAAAATCATGTTTAACGTCCATGTCAAACTTATGCCGGTAGTTGTTGAGAGCACTAAGCTGCGAAGTTGTTGACGAATATGTTTACCTGGGATAAATAGTCCTACTAGGTAAGTCCAACTTCAACCGAGAGGTCAATCGACGGATTCAACTCGGCTAGGCAGCGTTCGGGAGATAACGACATATCTTCTCGTTAGACATACCTCAGAACCTCAAAACTAGATTGTTCAACCAGTGCGTGTTACCAGTGATGACCTACGAGTCTGAGACGTGGTCCTTCACTGCTGGCCGTATGAGGAAGCTCAAGGTCGCTCAGCGAGCTATGGAAAGGGCAATGCTCGGCGTTTCCTTGCGTAATTGACTTAAAAACGAGGATATCCGCAGTAGAACCAGAGTAACCGACATAGCCCAAAGAATTAGTATGCTGAAGTGGCAATGGGCCGGCCATATAGCTCGAAGAACCGACAACCGATGGGGAAGAAAGGTTCTTAAGTGGCAGCCTCGTACCGGCAGGCGAAGTGTAGGGTGTCCCCCCACTAGATGGAGTGACGACCTGGTAAGACATGCAGGAAGTCGATAGATGCAGGTGGCTCAGGACCATACTTTGTGGCATTCCTTGGGGGAGGCCTATGTTTAGCAGTGGACTTGTGAAGGGCTGTAATGATGATGATGAAATCGCGAGGGACAGCTAGTTCGAAATAAATTCAGAAAAATATTACGAAAAACAAATATATGAATGTCGTTTACTCAATTGGTTGAATTTCGACACAGGCAATAATAGTTTCAATTATGGGCGGAGTTTCTTTTTTTTTAAGTTCTTTTTGGTGGGTTTACATCTCTTTAATAGAAACCTGCTTAGACTCATTAATGATTGTTGAAAATATATTATCATCATATTATCATTATTATATATCATTGACTCAAATGAAGTATACTACTATATTATTTACTAAATGTATTAAAATAAATCTTACTACAGGTGGGAAACATATTATCAGTACGTGCGCAGGAGACGGCCGCAGGGTTATGTTCATCCCTGGACCCCCCTCCCTCTCCACCAGCGCTTACCCTTGACATCGAGCCAGTCTTACGTACTGTCAGGACTATGAATTTCGTTGAATGCATACGTAAGTAGTTCTTGGATTTAATTGTTGTAATAAAGGATCTATTTATAAGATTTGATGGACAATAAAATTTACAACGTAGCAAAATGTAACCATGCACAATGTTCCTAATTTCTAAATTCCAATAGGATAAGATTGAGCTTTGACTAGATTCAAACACTGTGCCGCCGAGCAGAGTAGTCTTATGTTACACGCACGGAGATAGAACAATACATTCAAGTGCGAAAACTATAAATATGTTTAAGTGCGAACATTTATCTATTTATTTTTATAAAAGTAAGGACTTAAGGGTGACAACCTTCACCTGATGGTAAGTAGATGTTGTAACCTATAGGTTCCTGCATCCTTTAAGAAATACGTCTCAATTAGGAATCAAAATTAAAATGTGTGTCACTGTGAGTGTGACACAATGAGTGTCACTCGTGAGAGCTAAATTAGCTTTTAACCCACCATTTTTAACATCCTGCGAAATTGAAAACTTGTAGTGAAATAAAATAAATTAGTTTTGTCCATTGAGTTATATGTACTACGTACGCAAACAAAAATTGTGTCCTACTCTATGTCTTCGCGCATGCGCGGGAGTAGTAGTCGCGCATGCGTGAAGACTTTAATTTAATATAAAATAAGATATTAATATAAAATAAATATAAGAATTTAATATAAAATATCTTAATTTCATCTAAACAAACATATTTGTAATAATAATTATTTTATGGAATTCACAAATCTTCAATTTACGCAATATTTAGTTTGTATGGATTGCACTACAATTCAGTTGAACATAGTCAATGTTCGAAATGGCTTCTCTAGTACGTAGTACATATAACTCAATGGTTTTGTCATATTTTTTGCTTGCAGTGTACTCCTTCCAGGCTCGGTCCATGCCTGAAATTTTGGATGGGGTCACTAATAATAAAATATGTCGAGTAAATTAGACTTTATTGCACATTTTTTTTTTTATAGGAGAGGGGGCAAACGAGCATGCGGCTCACCTGATGGTAAGTGACTACCGCCGCCCATGAACAACTGCAACACCAGGGGAATCGCAGATGCGTTGCCGGCCTTTTAAAAAGGAGTACGCTCTTTTCTTGAAGGTCCCTAAGTCGTATCGGTCCGGAAAAATCGCTGATGGTAATCGATTCCACAAGGAGGTCGTGCGAGGAAGAAAACATCTTCTAAATCGCACAATGGTGGACCGCCAATCATCCAGATGGTGTGGATGGTATCGGGAGTTCTGCCGCGATGTGCGTTCGTGAAATTTGGCGGCTGGGATTAATCCGAACAATTCCTCAGAGCACTCCCCATGGTAGATGCGAAAGAAAATGCAAAGGAGCTGGCACTGGGGAGCCCCTGCCCAGAGATGGGAACAGTATTCCATGTGAGGCCGAACTTGCGCCTTGTAAAGTAGCAGGCGGTGTGCCGGCATGAAATACTGTCCCGCTCTGCTGAGCACACCAAGCTACACAATTATATTGCACACATTATAAAACAAATGGAAATCTTCTATTTTTATTGGCAAATCGGGTGATAATATTTGAGACGTCTAAAGAGCTAAACCTGTCAGCCTCTCTTCTAACATGTTTGCTCTCAACCAAGTTTTTACACGCCTAAGCGTAGAAAATGATCTCTCTGATATCGCACCGCTTATAGGAAGAGTTGCCAGAATTTTCAGCAAAGTTTTTATATTTGGGTAGAGGTCATCGTCGCAAACTTCGATTGTAAAAACCACACACTTAGGAAATATTGTATCAGTATTTTCTTTGAGCTCCCGTTCCTACTTTGAAATCCATAGCTGATACTCTGTAACGTAAGTGGCAGCAGGAACACTCAAGAAATGGGTATAACATTCTGATACTTTCTTCACCTTAAGAAAATCTTTTTCTGTATATTCAGATTTTGGCAATAATACGAACTTAGGTTAACCGTATCCGCAGAAAGTCGGTCCCTGTGGGTCAGTCATTATGCTATTTATCAGTGGAATATTAAATCCTCCGAAAATATTCCTCGTCATTTCCTGGATAAATATTAATTGGGGGGGGGGGGGGGGGGGGTTAGTCATGTCTCCCAAGGACCGTGCTTGACTCCTTCATACAGGATTCATATAAAGTTAATTGAAATACCTAATCTTCAAATATGTATTAATGTAGGTAAATAATATATAAGTATTCCATACAATGGTAGTATTCAATAGTATGTATATACATCAAAGGACCTACCTAACTTTAGTCATTACCTCATAAAATTTCAATTAACACGATTTCTACTAGTAATTGATTCCACAAGGCCTTTTAAGAGTACATGCGCTAAATGGTTGATTTACTTTTTCTTTAAAAAAATATATATAATTTCCGATTTCGAGTCCGCATTTGATTCTCTTCAGTGGAGCATATAATAGCGCTGTGTTAACAAGCGTATTATGATGAAATCTAAGACATAATTTTAACATAGTAAAATTTGTGTAGAAAGCGTAAGTAGTACACTTTGTTTACGGAATAAACATTTGAATTCACAACACTCGTTGGACTAGAAGCAAATGCGACTGACTGTTCATGAATTCTCGGCTACGAAATCCGGATCGGGTCATAATCACTTTTTGGGACTTTTTGTCAAAAAATTCTCAGTTAAATTTCGAAGATTGGAAGTTAGTGATGTACACACACTAGTGCGAGTACTATCGCCTTCACACAGATTATTATCAGTGAAATTACTGCGCTAACGCGTGAACTCATTGAAGCAGTTCTAAGCTGTAGTACAAGTAGAGGCTTGAGTAAAACTTCTGCTTGCTTGAATAAATTTCCTTATTTTTAATTCCCGACGTTTCGAGTGCTTTACAGCAACCCATGGTCACTTGGGGACTGAGATGTATGACGTCCCGATGTCATAGTTAGCCCGGCTGAAGTTGGGAGCTATATCATGAAATCGATTTTTTTTTTATAGGATAGGGTGTCAAACGAGCACACAGTCCACCTGATGGTAAGTGGTTGCTGTGGCCCATAGACATCTACATCTATCCTCGTTTGCGAATCAAAATGCAGATGCGTTGTCACCCATGAGTACTAAGATGGAATGCCTGTTTTCTACTAAAAAGGGTCTCCGGTTCTCTACACTCATAATACGAAACACAGCAGTATTAAGCTGCTATTTAACGCTGGTATTCTGTGAGACCGTGGTCCTTCCCCGGTCGAACCGACCCATTCGTGCTACAACCATACTACTAATATAGCTGCAGCATGGCTCTACCACGTGTTTGTCTATCATAACTTTATTCTTTTTTAAAACCAAAACGAAAGTGAAGAGCAAAATATTCTAACGTTCGATTCAATTCAATTCAAAAATCAAAACGAGCTACACATATCTCAAGTTACCGGCAATTTGTAAATGACCAACGAATTTATAATTGCTGCACTGTCAGGTTACTAGAAAGTTTTTTTTTAATCCAAATTTTAATTATTGTTTTCTTTGGCACTGATTCTTTGACCAGGTTTAAAAACTTTGTCACTTGGGAAATACTTTGATTTAAAAAAAGCATGTAATATTACGTACTCGCGCTTAAACTCCAAATAAACTTGATACTTGTGTTAGGAGCAGGTGGTGGGGTGGAGTAGCCAACCCATTTCTTTTTTAAGTATCGCAGTTTCGTCCCTTAATCGTTTGCTACTGTTACATTTTATATTAAATACTTAATAATCATTTGGCAATTACTTTTTCAATTTTTCTAACAATGCATTGGAATGCAGCTGTGGAAAAGCAAATGAAGTCATCAGGTAAGTTCTAGTAGTATTTTAAGGGGTTCTTCTTAATAAATGAAATATTGCCGGGTAGTGGCGGTGTAGGAGAATCCACTACGCTATATCATCCTGTGGATGTGGAAGCGTGACAGAGGGAAATAACGGTTCGAAATAATAAAAAAAAACTGTGGTTGCGACTCGTGACAACTATGGCAAATATATGAGACAATCTATGTGGTACTCCTATGTTTAGCAGTTGACTTACAATAGGCTGTAATGAATGAATGAAATGTAATTTGTTGTAACAAGTCAATATTAGCTAGTAGGAGTTACAGCTTACAGCCTTTATGCGTCCCAATGCTGGGCGCGGGTCTCCTATCACTTTTAAGAGAAGGTACTTGCGTAATCAATACTGAATATTAAATTAAAATAATATATTGATAGTGCAAGTTCTGGGCGAACATTTACTTTACGTAATTACCTTACTACTACGACTAATATTTGTTTAATGTAGACGGTAACGCGGCCAAACTATTCTAATTATAAAATTACACACCTGAATACTGAATACTTCGTTGTTTCTGTAATGTAGATGATAAGATACCATACTTGATTGCACACCACAACTACTGCAAAATGTGTTTTGTTGATTTATTTTTCTTTTATTTTTAACTAAACTTTTTTAAACCTTGTCGTGATCCCATTTGTTAGTTTTTAATTTATTAAAGTGGAAGCTGTGGACGTGTGAAACTTGTAACAGTGACCAGACGCTCACCCAAAATTGTAAGGAAACCGAATTTTGGCCATTTCTCTCTTCTCTTTTCTTAGAAGTATATGAACAAGTTGAATTGGTGTAGTTCAAATATCTTCGAAATATTTCGAAGGCGTTTTAAATTTACACACTTGCAGCTTTCCTTACGATGTTGCACGTGGTAAATCAGCACTAAAAATTTTACTATTTTGAATATCAGTGATGCAGGCAGAGATTAAACTTAGGTTTGATTAAACTAAGATTTTTTTTAATAGAATAAGGGTGACAAACGAGCACACATTTCACCTGATGGTAAATGGTTGCTGTGGCTCATAGACATCTACATCTATCTTCGTTTGCGACTTAAAATGCAGATGCGTTGTCAGCCGTGAGGAATAAGATAGAATGCCTCTTTTCTAGTAAAAAGGGTCTCCGGTCCTCTACACTCACCATACGAAACACAGCAGCTTTAAGCTGCTATTTTACGCTGGTATTATGTGAGAGCATGGTCCTTCACTGTTCGACGCGACACATTCGTGCTACAACTATACTATTAATATAGCCGCAGCATGGCTCTACCACGTACAAAAGGTACTCGGCCCCTGTGCCATGCGTTCTTCTCCACAATGGAATAGGCTATACCCAATAATGGCACGTTATTTTTTAGCACCGGGCGCCCCAGAGATGGCAGTGGAAGCGTGCGCGGCGCGTGGCTGCTCGTGCACGTTAGCGTGGCGGCCGCCTGCCGCCCCTGCTGCAGTGCGCGGCTACGTGCTCGAACTCGACGACGGGCTCGGAGGACCATTCAGAGTACATAACATATTTTCATATTTGATAAGTTTTCAAATGAACCTTCAGGCATGCTGAGTATACAATTTCAAGGCTGCAGCATTTGATTTGGTAGCAAAACTGAAGATGTATATGTATCAAATACTATATGTACATGTTTTCGTGAAAGAAAGCGTAGAGTAGCGAGTCAATCAATATTAGAATATCAAACGAGGAGGATACGATGAGCCCACCACTTCAAGAATGAGTCAATAATTGTTGAATACATAACTTGATTTTTCCCCCTTACTAAACACGCAGGTCAGGCGTCTTGATAAACTCTTAAGTAGATTTTTAACCTTTGAACTGAAATGCTGCTTGAATTTCAAATAATAGAATTATTGTCTGTAATATATGTCTGGAAGCTATAAGCACAGTCTATAAATCCATACAGTCGTCCGACAAAGACTTCTAGACAGGGCAATCGTGCGGGGTGTGAGGGGTGAGATGCGGGAAGGACGAGCCCGAGCTGCTCATGGCAATCGTATTAGTAGCTCGGGACACGACTTCAAGGGTTAACGCGCGTTTGCTTTTATAATTTTCAAATTTAGTGTTGATACTTATAATTAAAATGTTTCATACGACGATTATAATGTCAGAAAAAATAAATATGTTGGAAAAAAATGAAACACCTATGCAAAAGAATCTTTCCAAATTATTGTTTTGTAACGATCTACAGGTAGTAGCTAAGAAATTAATTGCTTATGTATCTGATTCTTTAAAACAAAGCACTAGAGAAATATCTTTATTCAAGAATAAGCATATAATTTAACATTGAATAACTCTTGGTTTACTGAAATGTAACAGCCATAGGAATAGGCTATATAATCTAAGCTTCGCTTAATTCAAGTGATGACCTCCTCTGGTACCGAAATTTCTGTAAGAATTTGCTAAAAAAAAGTTAAACGAAGTTATGAAAGTCAAATACTTCGGGATTCTGCTGGTAATACTGAGATTCTCAAATCTTTGAAAAAATATAACGAAAATTACACTTATGAACGAATCTAAAGTGGACAATTCAATGCTTCTTAACATTAAATCTTCCCAAAAAGAATTTGATGATTTTGTTAATGAATTTTTAGTAGTATAGGGAAAATCTGGCTATTGTTATATATCGCCCCAAAGGATCTCTATAGATCAATTGCTCCAAGACCATCCCTTCCTTTCTTCTTTTGGATTAAAATCAAGCAGTGCTCTTGTATGGAACAATATTCCATCCAAATTTCGTTAAATTTGCAAATAAAGAGATTGTAGTATTTTTCCGGTCAGATCGCATTTAGGAAACCTATGTTTCAACAAAGGTGTATTTCCGACATTGTTGACGGAATCAATGGTAACATCTATGTACAAGGGCGCGACTGTATTCCAATTTAGCCCTCAATTTCTTAAATTATAGAAAACGTAATGAATAAAAGATTAATATAAGCTATCTAATAAATACAGAATGTTGTCAGATGCCGTTAAGGCGGTAGCATCTGTGATTTTTAATGAATTGGTTTATGAAAGTAAATACTTAACAGTATTATTAGACCTAAAGAGCGTTCGACATCGTCTCCGTCACCATACTACTACAAAAATTATAAAATGAATACATCAGATGTGTTCTTCTTGAACTATTTAATGATTACTTATGTAAAAGTACAAACAGAGTAAAAGTGGGCCATACGGTTAGTGAACGTACTATTGTCTCATAAGGCGTTTCGCAGGGAAGTGTCTTGGGTTCAACGCTGTTCCTAATTGACATTAATGACTTCTGTAATATAAAGGTTCTGTACGCCAGGATCTTCCCTTATGCGGACGACAGTGTCGTGATTTTTACGGGGGTCTCTTGAATTGATGTAAAAGTTAAGGCTGAGAAGAAATTATTGCCGAGTGACTTGAAAGTCAACCTACTAACGCTAAATTCTTTCAAAACAAATAACTAAAAGTGACACGATCGCTTGGACATTTTTATTAGCCTCTTATAACACTGAGATAATAAGATTGGGTAATATACTCGCTTATAAGGTTCAAAATACTAGGTTGATTAATAAGTTTTTGGAAACGCAATAAAACTAGGATAAGTATATTATGTACCTAAATTAGCCACATTTTTAAATTTTAAGGTATGTTTTAAAATAAACTGAATTAAATAAATCTCAGTTCAATAACGCATCATCACACGACGATGTACTTTAACAATCTCTTCGATTTTTTAACGTTTTCTTGCGCAGCAGCCGTTTTTGTCATTGCAGGCGGTTTTTCCGCGTTTAAATTGTCACTATTATGCCACTGTAGAATAAGACGGAACATTGTCTGCGAAAGTAGACTGCAGTTCTTTAAAAATACTTTTTGTAGAATTTTTTACAGGCAAAAATATTTAATAACTGCACGAAGTTTGAGTTTCTCCATTTTGGATACGAATCAAATTCCTGCCAATTGGGTACAGTTTTTAATTTAGTTATTTCTAGGCTAGGCTTCTAACAAACTTAAGATTCGAAAAAATAGAACGCATTTCTATCACTCATTAATAATTGTCCTATTCTGTAAAACTTATTGATCCACCTAGTATAACAGCTATAGTACGACAGAAGAAGGATGTTTGTGCCTTTTCATAATAAGTATTCTATTTCCAGGAGGTGTATTGCGGCCGAGAGACTGTGTGCACGATAGACGGCTTGCACTACGCGTCCCTTTATAGTGCGAGAGTGAAGGCTTTCAATGGAGCAGGCGAAGGACCGTACAGTGAAGTCATAGGGTTACAAACGTCACAGGGTATGTCGTAATATGTGCATTTGTAACTGTACGCTGATGTAAAAATCAAAACATCTGCGTCATATTACATTTCCTATACGAGTATGTATACTTCAAAGCCACGAACAAACAATTTTACTTTTTTTTTCCAAAAATCAAAGCACAATGGAATTTTTGGGCCTGAAGTTAACTAATTGGTTTATACTTTAAAACATTGGCCATATTTTTCTTAAGTAAAATACAGAAAAGTAGCCCTTTTTACAAACTAGATTCTCGATTAAATTGAGTATTTTAATATTTACTTTCGATTATTTTTCTATGTTAACTAGGGAGATAAAAAGAATTGAGTACATATCCACAAAATAATAATAAAAAATACAAAATATCAAAATTCCAACAAGTAACAGTTACAACAACAATTCAAGTAATCGATCTCAGAGCGATATCCCTAATATTCACTTCACTTAGTTGTTGTTTTAACTTTCGTTAATCGTTTCAACATTTCGTTTCATTATCAACCACAGCTTTTTTGGTGATTTCATACTGATCCTGCTTTTATGTCTTTAAGTAATTATAGTAGTAATAATAGTATAATTAAGTAAGTATAGTATATTAGAAAAATAGCCTGTTACAGTGTAATAACAGTGAAAAATCACCTGTTACAGTGTAGGTAATAGATAATCTCAGTTTTACTTATTCTACAATAACTCAGCTCGTAGATTGACAAATCTTGCCAGATTTCAGCTATGATTTGTTTATATATACGCTTTCAAGTGGTCCTACTTTCATCTTGTTAACACTTTGGCCCAAGAATGTTTGGAGACGTCTCCTTCTCCTTTATTAATTTAGTTTTCTTAGTTATGTGAGAATAGGCCCGTTAATATGTACGTGATTGTATTGGATGGAACATGGAACTTACGTTTTCACTTCATTGCCGTGGCGGTGACGGCATAAGTGAATTCATCGCTCTATTTCGGCCCACGGGTGTTGTCAAAGTCAAGAATTTTTATTCAAAATTGGCTTTGTACACTTTTTGAAAGTAAATGCTATGCCATCGCTTCAACAAGTCTCTGCTGTCGAAATTGAATGTCTCGTTGCTCTAGTGGTCATAAACGCGATTACTGATCATGAGGTCGCAGATTCGAATCCCGGGCCGGTACAAAATCAGTTATTGCGTATTTGTGTCAAGAAATTTGGGCGCTATAATTCTGTCCTGCTCCTGCGCAGATGGGTAGTCTCTGACTGTCATGACCGAAATTCGGTTTGAAGGACATTACTGTGGCATAATCTTGTGAGAAATAGTGGCAAGAAACTCACAAGTAGATTAATTTTTCCAACCGATTACAATTTACCCTTAAAAATATATACTTAAATAAAATAAGCCCAAGTAAGCTCGTTGTAACCACCAATTCTTATTCAATAATCATTTTTCAACGTGGTAGAGTCATGCTGCAGCTATATTAATTGTATAGTTGTAGCACGAATGGGTCGGCTCGACTGGGTAAGGACCAAGCTCTCACAAAATACCAGCGTAAAACAGTAGCTTAATGCTGTTGTGTTTCGTATGGTGAGTGTAGAGAACCGGAGACACTTTTTACTTAAAGAGGCATCCACCATAGTCCTCACGGCTGACAACGCATCTGCATTTTGATTCGGAAACGAGGATAGATGTAGATGTCTATGGGCCACGGCAATCACTTAAGATCAGGTGGATTGTGTGTTCGCTGGTCACCCTTATCGTATAAAAAAGAAGAAAACGCCAACGAAAAAAGAACGCCTTGGACATGTCACAAAATCCACCTATAGCGACCTGTCTACCCTACTAAGCTTCAAATATGTGTTTAATAAGTGCAATGCCTGTGTCAGTAGTACTGAAACCGTACTTGCTGCTAAAACTGATTATAAATTACTTTTTCATAAACTTTGCTTAGTACTGGTAATATAGATATTGTATAAAATTAGTGGCACTACTTTTACCCTCAGATTACAAAAGGAGAATTATTTTATTGTACTTAATAAAATTTTGAAAACTACCGAATTCAACATATTTATTAAAAATATGACTTAATTGCGATGCAATGGTATGAATTATTGATTTAATAGCAGTACTTGAGATACCCCCAAGATCTTAATTTTTTTTAACTTATTATAAGCCAGTGCTTGACCACAATCCCACCTGGTAGTAAGTGGTGATAAAGCCCTAGACGATAAATCGCACTGTCTTAACGCAACAAATGCCTGTTCACTCATGCCTTGAAGACGCCCTGATTGTATTCGGATGGAAAGACAGACGCCGGCTAATTATTTCTCTCCTTTGCTGTACGCATTACAAAATACGAAGCAAACTGTTTGGTCCTAATGCTTGGTATATCGGCAACAAAAGGATGAAGACGCGCCGATCGCTTGTTTATCCGGTGTTGGAAAGGAGAGATAGGAATTTTTTTTTATATGATAAGGGTGACAAACGAGCACACAGTTTACCTAATGGTAAGTGTTTGCTGTGGCCCATAGACATCTACATCCATCCTCGATTACGAATCAAAATGCAGATGCGTTGTCACCCGTGAGAACTGAGATGGAATGCCTCGTTTCCAGTAAAAAGGATCTCCGGTTCTCTACACTCACTATACGAAACACAGCGGCGTTAAGCTGCTATACTCCGTGACGGCCCCGTGGCGCAGTGGCTTAGTTCAGATGTTGCGCTGGGTGTCGGAACAAGTATTTGTGTGGCCTACAAATTATTGTTCCGGGTCTGGATGTTCGTCCTCGTGCAATTAATGTTTGTAAACTGCCTCCACGATACAGGAGAAAATCCTACTGTGGGGGTAATGTTTAAAAAAACAAAAAAGGAGATTCTATGGAAGCGTGGTTCTTCCCCGGTCGAGCCGATCCATTGCCATTAGCCGACGATTACGCATAAACGTGTAAAATTTCTTTGCAAGGCGTACTTTTGAAGTGACAGTTGACGACATATCGCGGTCGTTGGTATTGTGCAGTGGCGTGGTTCTCGTGGGACGCGCGGTGCGCGGGCGCGGAGGGCGCGCTGTCGCTGGGCGCGGGCGGGCTGAGCGCGCGCGCGGCGGGCTGGCAGCCGCGCGTCGTGCTGGCCGACCAGCCGCTGGCGCGCGGCCTGCACTACTGGCGCCTGCGCATAGACAGCTACGACGGCGACGCGGACCCCGCCTTCGGCGTCGCGCGCGCCGACGTCGCCAGGGACAAGATGCTCGGTACGTCTCCACTGCTCCACACGCCCGACTCCTCTCTATATAGTAAAAAACAAATTCTTTACTTCCCGCCGTCTATACGCTTAGATCTTTAAGACTACGCAATATATTTTGATCCAGTTTTCACCAATGGACAGAATCATCCGAGAGGAAGGTTTATAATACGAGTATGTATAATTCAAGCATATTATATATTATATAATTCTTCTGTCCGTGTATATGTTAAATTCACAGTTGGCCCCGGTAGGTGGCGTTGTTGTCGAGATCCGTAAATCAACCGGGCGAATCGGGGGCGGATCGCTAGTACCCGATTACACTTTCCGCATTAATTATTTATTTTATTTAGGGCCCATTTTTCAATCGTCAGATAAGTTCTCTCTTTGGTAATAGCCTCAGACGGTTGCGCTTTTGCCAGAGTCAAGTATATTATGACATTATTCTTTATATTAATTTGTTTCATAACTTCTTCACTATATTGTTGACTACTTGATTACTGGCACATCGTCCGCCCCTCCTTGTATGCAATGCAACTGAACAGAAGTAAGAAAGAAAAAAATGCTATAAAAGAGAGTGCGTCACGATTCTTGGGTATTCTGATTTGAAAATGCGAACTTTTTTTTATAGGATAAGGATGATAAAGGAGCACACAGTCCACCTGATGGTAAGTGGTTGCTGTGACCTATAGACATCTACATCTATCCTCGATTACGAATCAAAATGCAGATGCGTTGTCACCCGTGAAGACTAAGATGGAATGCCTCGATTCCAGTAAGAAGGGTCTCCGGTTCTCTACACTCACCATAACTTGGTATAGGATCTCTAAAATATATACATTCGTTATCGTCACAGTCTATCAAAAGTTCCTGCTCCATAGATGGCCTCCCCCACAGAGTGCCTCACTAGTACACTTGTGTAACTGGTAGGGATCGTTTGCACTGGTAGGGATCGTTTGCTGGTACGAATAGCTCTATAATTCCAAATAATCTAAACTAGGATATTAATATAAAAAGTCGTCTGCTTATAATTGATACAGATATATAATTTAACTAAACAAGCGTCATACGTACGTCAAACGTAACCAACCACGATTCCCGCCAAGTTACCAATATTTATTTGCTTTGATTTTTTTTGTGTTCATGTTCTATAATAAACTTTAACAACATTTTAAACTTTAAGCTCCGTACTCATATTCGGTACTATCCGATAGTTTTACACTAAAACGAGTAAAAAATCACAACCCGAAGGCTCACATCGAGCCGGCTCGATGGAATTAAGACTAGTCCTTGACCGTGGGAACTTCTAACAGAACACCTACATTGATATTTTCTAGTGACATGGACGCATCGCGCAGTGTTAGTATACGCACCCTGGACATGAATAAATTACTTTTGATGCTTTGCACAAGTTACATATTCATCACGCGTTAGTCTTCGTAGGATGTTACAAAAACACGCATTGTATGTAGCCTTCAAAAAATATCAAAATTATGTTGCAGACTGCAGTCGCTTTTCCACGCACACAACAATACAGTCGAATGTTCGGAAGCATCAACCACCAACTAGTAGTGCACGAGTGCATATAATTGCAAAACGATTTGGTTTTCAAAACTGTTTTATGTGTGGTAGAGCCAATCTGCAGCTATATTTATAGTATAGTTGTAGTACGAATGGATCGGCTCGACCGGGAAAGGACCACACTCTCACAGAATACCAACGTAAAATAGCAGCTTAATGCTGCTGTGTTTCGTATGGTTAGTATAGAGAACCGGAGACCCTTTTTACTGGAAAATAGGCATTCCATCTTAGTCCTCAGGCTGACAACGCATCTGCGTCTATGGGCCTCAGCAACCACTTACCATCAGGTGGACTGTGTGCTCGTATGTCATCCTATTTCTATAAAAAAAAAATACTTCCCAACGATTCTGTTTTTTTACATTACAAAATTAAGTAAACTCCGTGAGTGATTTGTATCCAATGACTTACTCGCTATTCCTGGCTACGGTGGCGACCATGGTAACGGCGGGGCAGGGGGTGTTAAGAATCTCCGGCGGAGGTTCGGTTGCCACCTACGACGATTCGACCTGGCAACTTATAACGCACGTACCGTGAGGACTGACGAGAAGATCCTGGAACTGAAAGAAGAGATAGACAAGTTGCGCTGGAATATCATAGGATTATCCGAGGTCCGAAGAGAGGGGGAGGACACGGTAATCCTCCAATCCGGCAACTTGTTCTATCATCGGGAGGGCGACCATCTGTCCCAAGGAGGTGTCGGATTTATCGTCTACAAGTCCCTGGTTAACAACGTTGTAAAGATTGGGAGTGTGTCGACGAGGGTTGCATACCTTATACTCAGAATCACCTAACGGTATTCGCTGAAGTTCAAACTGGTTTACGCACCAACCTCGGCACGCTCCGATGTAGAGGTGGAGGAAATGTATGAGGATATCTCTAGAGCCATGCATTCCTCCAAAACCCACTATACGATGTTAATGGGAGACTTCAACGCAAAACTAGGCACAAGAAAGAACGGTGAGCTGAAAGTAGGGAAATTCGCAATAGGGCAACGGAACCCAAGGGGCCAGCAGCTGGCCGACTTCATGGAGAAAGAGGGACTCTTTATGATGAACTCTTTCTTCCAGAAGCGACCCCACAGGAAGTGGACCTGGTCGAGCCCTGACGGTTCGACAAAAAATGAGATTGACTTCATTATGACGATCAGACGACAACTGTTCAGTGATGTCTCAGTGATCCCGAGGGTGAAAACCGGCAGCGATCACCGAATGGTGAGAGGCACACTGAACGTAAACGTTAAGTTGGAGAGGTCACGTCTAATGAAGTCAAGACAAGTATGTTTACCTGGGACAAATCGTCCGATTAGGTAAATCCAACTTCGACCGGGAGGTCAATCGACGGATTCAACTCGGCTGGGCAGCGTTCAGGAAATTACGGCATATCTTCTCGTCAGGTATACCTCAAAACTTGAAAACTAGACTGTACAACCAGTGCGTGTTGTCAGTGATGACCTATGGAACTGAAACGTGGTCCTTCACTGCTGGCCGTATGAGGAAGCTCAAGGTCGCTCAACGAGTTATGGAGAGGGCTATGCTCGGGGTTTCTCTGCGTGATAAAGGACATTGCTCAGCGCCCATACATTGTTCGCCCTGGAACCAAGAGCATCGGAAAATTATGTATTTTATTGTTGATCATTAGTAAATTCCTATTTCATCTTATTTTTAAAGCGGACTAGCTGCATAATAGATATACTTCAAAAAAAGTATCAGATTTTGAGGTTATAATCTAAACATGAATATTACGGTTTTTCATAGATCCGAGTGATTTTTAATAAACTGAAAAACGATGTCCTAAAACTTAGCTATTTCTAGTACCTATCTACAAAATTAGGTATGCAATTTTTGTTCTAAAGCCTAAGTGTATGTACGTGCAACGTATAAGTGCATAGAATGTAGTTAACAAACCTGCTTTCTGAGCATTGGTTTTGAAATGAGAGATAATGTTTGTGTGTATTAATGTAAAAATAAAAATATATGTATATGGCTGTTAGCATTTAGATTTTGTCATTAGCATATACGGTACGGTAAGATACCTAGTCCCTAAATGTATAAGGATTTAGGCTGTCAGTCACGCCGCTAGACATGCCATCGAACAGCGAGCGTATCAACCACGGTTTCAAGCAAGTTTCAACAGCGCGCGCATGAACAGCGTGAATATTATAGACTAATATCTAGTATATTTGCAAGCGTGTGCGTCTGGACGGCGCTGTTCAAACGCGTGACTAGGAAACCAGCCCTACCGACTTAGTACCCAATTGGTAGTATAAGTTATTTTTACACGTACATTAACTTATTATGTTTGAATTTGAAATAAAACACAGATTAATTTCATGTTTATTGTTCATTTTCTAAATTGGAAATAAGAATATTGTCTAAAAACTGTGCAGGGATGTCGATATTATTTTGATGTCTCGTAAAGCTCAAGTACCAAATAATAGTCATAACATGGGCGCAGCAACCGATGGTTCTGCGTACAACGATGCAATTACAGCAATATTGCACGATTGCTTCTCTGTCCATCTTTAAACAATATTGTACCACCAGCAGAGCCGCTATTTACACAAAATACACTTTCCATTGCGTATGCGTAAGTCTGTTTATGAATGATAGGTTATCGTTTGAGCGGTACACAGTTCCGAAAATCACAGCAAAGTAAGTCGTTCTTGAAAGCAATCAGAGTCCGTTAAAATAGCCAAGTCGTAATGTTCAATATATAGTCCCGAAAGTCACCACAACACCGATACAATTATGTACAAAGACAATCACAATTGCAAACGACGCCAACCAATGTAACTTTGACAGAATTAGAGATGACGGTACAAAGTAGGCATGTCCATTTGAAATCGTTTAATCGATTGTTTATAGTAACAGAATCGATTTTCCAGATCGATATAGATCTGAACAATTCTTGTCCGATGCCGATACAGAAACCTCTCGAATCGGACTTATTCAAGAACTAGCTATATTTCAAAGGATTCAAGAAATACTTTTGCATAGTTGGAACGTCTGTTCCTTGTAACAGACAGAAAAACTGTTCTGTTCTGGGTTCGATCCCAGGGTCGGGCAAATTATTATTGGGTTTTTATAACTTGAAGTTCCTAGTAGTAGCACGGAGTCTGGATTTGTGCCCGGTGTTTGGCAATACGCGCATCCCTATTACATGGGATGTATAACATAACAGTACTTACACACCTCTACCTACTCCTTCTGGAAAATACTGGCGTAATGTTATGTTTATTAATTTAATGATTTTTCTATACAGTTACTTGTATTTACGGTAAGTTATCGTCAATAATGTTCTATGTCTATATTAGGCATGTTTGAAAATGTCGCGATTGATCAAAAATAGATCTGTTAATGCTTGATTTAATCGAGAATCGATTCTATTATGTTCGATTTACATCGATTTGGAGATCGTATTTTTTCATGAGGGACTGACAAGTGACCATTTAGTGACATCAAAAATAGGAGCGCCAAATACGATACGACTTATGAATATTTCCTAAGATTTATTATAGCCGTACGTTACAAACAGTATACCATCTATATAGTATATATCATCTTTTGTCATACGATAATATTAATACCATAACACTGTCCTACTTTACTTATAATAACACGTACGTCTCTATTTCTTCCATACTTGTAACAATATTAATAATAATATCTGTATCTAGTCTCCAATATTGCTCTTTTTTAAAAAAAACACATTTATAATTAATGCAGTAACGATAACTGTTTTTTTTTTTAAATTAATTATCGTAAACTCGTAAGTTATCGTATAGTAAGACGTAAAATATACTCCTATCTAAACGATCATTAGAAAATCTTGAATAATTATCTTTACAAATATTTTTCTTCAGCATTATTCTAACTACCTATTCAAAATCGAGTATGACATTCAATAGGTATAGTAGGTTTTTAAAATTATACTTGTAGGGAATAATATAAAAGAATATAAAGAAATGGTAATATAATATTTTTATTGTAGCTTCTTTTAGCAACTTTATTCGAAATAAATTAAAATGTAATTCAGATTAAAAAATATGCAACAGTTCATTAAAAATTCAAAAATCGATTACAATCGATTGGGCATCCCTAATCATTTTTCGACACCACATGATGTTTGACGAAGATGGCGGCGATTAATGTTATTAGTCGAATATAATACTTTTTAATGTTCATTTTTCCATGCAGCTAGTCCGTGTTATAAAAGTATTTGCAACTAATATAATAAAATAGAAAATTAATTATCGTATAAGTCCGATGCTTTTATTACACAGGGCGGTTTTGGACATTATCCTTTAGAAATGAGGATATCCACAGTAGAACCAGAGTAACCGACATAGCCCAACGGATTAGTAAGCTGAAGTGTAAGTGGGCCGGCCATATAGCTCGAAGAACCGACAACCGACGGGGAAGAAAGGTTCTTGAGTGGCAGCCTCGTACCTGTAGGCGAAGTGTAGGGGTCGCCCTACACTTCGCCTACAGGCACGAGATAGTGACGACCTGGTAAGACATGCAGGAAGGCAGAAGATGCAGGTGGCTCAGGACCGTGCTTTGTGGCATTCCTTGGGAGAGGCCTATGTTCAGCAGTAGACTTGTGAAGGGCTGTAATGATGATGATGATGATGATTGTTTAATGTAGGTACTCATAATTTAGATGTAATTTGCATGCTACATTATATTAAAATAGCAAAACATGAGAGCACAATACAACTAAAACGTCTGTATATTTACCATGTTTTATGCAAATAAAGATTATTATTATTATTATTATTATGGATGTACCTTAAATAAATCTTGACGTAATTTTTAAAACCTTCAGTTAAAAAAATATTTTTTACCATTCAGTCGTTTTCTTTATCAGTCAGTCATTTTGTTTTCCGTTCAGTCATTTAGTCACAACACTATTTTTGACTCATCAAAACCTGACAACCCACTAAACGTCAGGCAGCTTCGTTTAATTAAAAATACGACTTTAGAATGTTTGAGTGCATACCGGTCCCAATTGACTAGGTGTTGATTGTTCTAGAAAGTTCTTCCTTGGAAATTTCTAGAAGGACCTTGACTTTTCTAGTTTTGCCACTCGATACTAGAGGACGCTAGTGATAACTAATGTTGCCATTTACCAAGCATTAATGGTGGCGTTCGCGTGGCGCGTAATTTGCAACAATAATTATCACAATCGGTCAAAGTAAAATTTTAAAGTTGTGATAATTTTTTACTAAAGTGTTATATGTAACGAGTTCGTGCCGTGTTTATTGTACGCCGCCGCTGGCCGCCACGGCTTGCACTTTGGCTTGCGTCATCATTCACACACATACAATTTACAAATATTATTTTATTTCAATTTAATTTGTTTATTTTTATGTGTAGTTTTCTGAAGTAAAATTATTTATATACGTTTGAATACGAATTCTGATAACGCACTTACCGGAAACCACAGAGTTCTTGTTACATATTGCATTTTGTCACCACTAATGAAAAGTCATATAGCATTAGAAGACAGCATAACTGACTAGATAACTTCTATATTATAAATATTAGTTATCAATCTAAATTTAACTACTGCAATAAAAACCTCGACATAAGGTATTACTAAAATAACCTAAACGTCATCGTTATAGGATAACCTCAACAAAAAACCCGAAGAGTCAATCAGGACAGGACTATTGTAGAAGGTTTGATATCACAATGGTTGGACCCCACAGAGGGTAACCCACTGATCAACAGTTCACTTAAGGTCTGAGCGAGTTTCCGAGTGGTTATTAATTTTTATACATTATACATATATACATACAATAATTTATACATTATTAATTTGATTTTTTTATTCTATTAACTTTCTTTACGTTTTTCCAAATTATCTACCTGAAATGGATATTAAAATAAATTACTATTTATTAAGTACATTGGTGTCTGATAATTACAAAAAAAAAACAATACATAATAAAACACACATACATATTTAGTCTACTTACTTCAAGTAAGAATACAAATAATTTTAGGAGTCGTGTCCGACACTCGCGACCCACCCTTATGCTATGTATGTCAAACAATAGATGTATCGACTCGACTCGTCAAATCGGGCTATGAACGGACGTACAGTCACCTTAAAAATTGAGGCGGCACTGAATTTTTTTCACGCGTGTTCTCTAATATAAAGCGAATTACGGAAACCTAACTGCTTCATACTAAAATGTATGGAAATCGGGGAACTATTTCTGCTAAAAAATTAATGATATTTAGGCTTAGATTATTGTTTTATGGTTTGAATTAGTAAAAAAAAAATGTATGGTGAATGTATTATTTAAACTTTTATCTCACGTTATAATCATAAATATTTTCTAAAATAATAACGAATTAGCCTAGAGCCTAAAGGCCGTTTTAAGTGTTTTTACCATTTTTGACGATTTTTTATCGAAAATCAAGAAACTTATACAGACATTGCGATTGTTTATGGAACGTCTAAATTGCGAAACTTGCTAAATGCAGCCATTGTCTCCTTTGTTGAACAGACGTCTTTTGGCTCGAACGGTTCGGTGAATACTGAACATCGCGCGTCGGTCGATAGATAAACGTTAAATATGTGGACGAAAGCCCGTGCCGTGATTTATACTGGACGTGCTTGCTCGATCGAGTGAGTGTATGTGCTCGTATGTGTACAGTAATTGAAATAGTAGTGTTTTATTTTTGTGAGCAGGCAGCGACGCGCTTGGCTGGGCGATGTACATCGACGGGTCGCGGTCGTGGTTCGTGCACGGCGGCGCGCACGGCGGGCGCGCGGCGGGCGGCATCGCGCGCGGCCGCAGCGTCGGCGTGCTGCTCGACCTCACGCGCGGCACGCTGCGCTTCGCCGTGGACGATCAAGCGCAGGTGACAAATTAATAAAAACCTTATTCGCCGCAAACAAACACTTGTTACTGATTGGAATATTACTTATTTTTAGCCCTTATCCGCCTATAGATAACCGAACTAAAATAGTCGAAAAACAGAGATAACTTCGATTTTATTTTTCTATCTGGAACATACATAATAACAGGACACAGGATAACTGTTTGAAAATTCATCCTTAAATATCTTTTTTTTTTTCGTCTATAACTTGAATTACTGTAATGAAATTCAATTCTATTTTCGCAATTTCTTTATTGTTTCAGGGTGATGTAGCATTTACGGGTCTTCGCGGAGCTTTCTACCCTGCCGTGTCATTGAACCGCGGTGTTGCGATCACGCTGGAGCCTGGTTTACCGCCGCCACCCGAACTGCTTATGGCCAATCTCGCCATCGAATAAGTTCTATTACTCATTTGTTAAAAAATATGTATGCAGGTCATAAGGTAACCAAAATTATTGTGATGTCCCTTTTGTAAGCCTAACGTTAGTAGTATTAATCTATATCAATTTACTATACTAGATGGCCCGGATTTTGAGATTTCTTTTTTGGCTCTAACTCACAATTATTGTGAACATGACTCCTTTTAGTCCATAAATATAGATTAGCTGATAGTTTTATTACAGCGCCACCTATCGGGCCCTAGTATAGCTATGAAGAATCGTGTCTTATTTATGAAGATGACTTCAATCGGTCAAGTCCTTCAGAATCACTAACAGACCCTGATAGGGCCTGTTTTTATTTGTATCTCAACCAATGAAATCATCAGTGATAGTGATGTTTGCCATTAGCTCACACATGGGGCTACCTTAAGTTAGATACTGTTTATTTGTGTATTTATAGTAAAATTTTGCAACACTGACCATTTACACACCTTTAAGTGTTTTTTTTTAGACTAAGGGCGAAAATGTGGGTAATCTAATTATAAGTATGTTTCTGCTATATTTTAATAACAGTAATTGTATACGAAATTAATGACTGCCAACTTTTTTATTATTACTCGTTTTTATCCATTTAAAAAAATTGTAATTGTTACAAATACACTCATGGATAAATTTATAGGAACACAAAACAGTGTGAATAAAACAAAATGTCATAGATATTTGTGACAATTAAGTTTATTAATTTAGATTTTGCTTATTATTCGTTTATTTGAAATTGCAAACAAATAACAAATTAACCAAATTAAGAAAGTACTTAGGGTTGCCACCTCTAGGTCTTCGAACTGCTTCCAGACTCCTTGGCATACTCCTAATCAAGTTACCAATAAAATCTTGAGAGATTGTGTTTTATTCTTCCTATAATGCTTTTGAAGATCTCTCAAATTACCGTGATTTGTCTTCCAAGCTTATTCCATACATTCTCTTATAGGTTTAAGTCAAACGAGCGCGCTCGCCACCCCATAGCATTGATTTCAACGTCTCGAAGGTATTCGATTATTTCTGCCACAGTAAACGGGCGTGCATTATGTATTTCTTTATTTGTATGGATTTAAAAAGTTATAGATATTAGCTTACATCTAACACAGGGATGTCAAACTCATTTTTCTAAAGGGCCAAATATAAATGTTAGGGTTTGTTAGCGGGCCAGACTAAAATTAAAAATTAAAACACACTGAATTAAAATCTTTGTTTATTTACTTTCAATCAGTTTTCATATTATAAAAGTAAAAAGGCTAAATTAGGTTGAGCTTGAGGATCCTGACACCTGAGGTCTTTTGTTTTTGATAAGCTCATTGATGTCAAGGGTCATATTTGAGGTAGTTATTTTCAGTATAGATTGGAGATGTTCTTTTTTTTTTATTTTTTTTTTATAGGATCGGGTGACAAACGAGCACACAGTCCATCTGATGGTAAGTGGTTACTGTGACCCATGGACATCTACATCTCCTCAATAAAAACTCAAGATGCAGATGCGTTGTCACCCGTGTGGACTAAGATGGAATGCCTCTTTGCCAGTAAAAAGGGTCTCCGGTTCTCTACACTCACCATACGAAACACAGCAGTGTTGACCTGATATTTTACGCTGGTTTTCATCAGTAAGCCTTTTTATTTTCTTAACGAAAAACATCTGCTCGCATACATAGGTACTACCAAACATACACAGGATACGCGCTGTATTTTTTGTTTTTATTTGGATAGTTATTCACTCTTGTATACTTTAATTCCTTAAATTTATCCTTCATAATACTGTCACATTGGAAAACTATTAATTCCATTTGCAAATGAATAGGTGTCTGTGCAGCTTCAAAAGTAAATGGATTGTTAAAAAGAGGAAATTTCATTTAGTTTATCTTGCGAAAATCTTGAAAACGGCGGTTAAATTCTGTGAATAGATTCAGCAAAAGTAGAGAATACTCATCCAATTTATTCTGGTTCACTGTGACAAATGATCTTAAATGAGGGAAATGATCGAGTGTTTGGTTTTTCTTATCTCATTTTTATTACATCCCGTAGTCTTTTTCTCTTTCTTGTCTTTTCCCATAGTTTTGTTTCGGACGCCTTAACATGCGAATACATTTCAGTGACGATCAAAACTTTCCCCTAAAACTGTATTCAGGTCATTCATATGTTTAGTCGTGTCTACCAAAAAGGCACAACCAACCCACCAATAATCCATTGGCTTGCCCTTTTCTGACATGAAAGCTTAAATAGGGTCACGTAACGCAAGAAATCTTCCGAAAACCGCTTCTCGATTGAGCCAACGATCTTCCGTAAAAGAAGGTAAAATAATTTTCATCCAAATCCTCCAAACTTACAAAGTTTATTATTTTAATAACGGGCTACATGACATGGTCCATTTTTTAATGTTTGGATGCAAGTGATTCCTGGTAAATGATACAGTGAATTCCCATAAAATTATCTAATACTCGTATGTTCTATTTTAATTTAGTTACAACACCCGAATTTTTGCCAACCATAACAGAAGCACCATCACTAGTTATGCTGCAAAATCTATTATATGAACTCGATTGGATCGAGTTCATATTCTACTATTAATTACTCGACTGCAGAACAAATATCATTTGCTACAGTGATGACTGTCAATGGAAAGCACTTTAATAGTTCTTCAATTATTTAGAAATTACTGTTAATACCTCGGATAGAGACAAAAAGTTGAGCTGTATCAACAGTATCAGTGCTCTCATCAGTAGCCAGCGAAAAGTTTGTAATTTTCTTAATTTTCTCATTTAGTTGACAGTCCAAATTTTGGGCTAAATCACTTATTCTTGAAGCTACAGTGTTTCTTGACAGCGGTATATTTCGAATGAATGTAAATGTCGATGATCTAGAAAAGAACAGCGACACAGGGATCATTCACATTGGTAGCAAATACATTAAATATACCAGAGCCAAAAACATTACCAGGCACCAGAGTTCGACCACCTCACGTAATAGTTGTTGACGAAGATTTCCCATTAAAAAGTACTTGATGAGACCATAGCCTGCTGCACAATTGGATGACCAACGCAGAATATATAATAAGAGGCATAGCAGATACCGAAGAGTTTCAGAAAACGCATTCGGCATGTTGTGCCGAAAATTCAGAATCTATCGCAACATCTGCCTTAGTCCGGATCACGTAGATAATGTGATTCTTGCTACTTGTGTCCTACACAATTTTCTCAGATAATGATAAAGTATGAATTCGTAATGAAGACACTGACAACCAGGAATGCTAATTACGACCTTTTTTATCTTCCTCGTATAGGAGGTAATTTTGTAAACAACGCTATGCAAGTACGAAATACATTCAAAGATTACTTCAATTCCTCTCAAGGTAGCTTAGCCAGTCAGAAATAGTACTTAAAATACCCGTAAATTATGTACCTACCTCCTTTAATAAAAACATTCTACACTATAAAAGGAAAAAAAATCCTGCTTATTTTATATCTTGCTACGCAAGTATACATGGCAAACAATAAATAAGATTAAAAAAAGCTTTTTTTTTATAAATTAGTACAAGCTAAACAACTTTCTCTATGTAACCAATTATTTATACATTGGAGAGGCCGACGTTCATCCACAGCAAAAAAAAAAACACGAAATTTTCTTACCATTTACTCCCATTTCTTGGGCTATTTCACTCCAAAGATGGTTTTTTTCTGGAAGTGTTCATATAATTATCATTCTGTACGTCATATATCTCCGGATACTGGCTCACGAGTACATGTTTGTGGCCCGATAGTGTGCACGATAATTATAACAGGAGAAATCAAACTTTTTTTGCGTACCTCTAAATTTGTTCATGAGTGTACAATTTGTTTTTATAAACTGTCTTTAAATGTACTTCAGTTACATACTAGCCACTGTATTTTTTTAGGGTCTGCGGGGCGTACTGTTCCTTGATCAAAACAATGTGTCTCATTGTTTTAATTTAGCTGGAGGGCTTCCCATGACCTTGATATATTTTTGTTCACATATAATATGCAAGTTCGTTGTTTGTTTGTGTGTGTAATGTTTTTCTTCTCTTGGTTTTTTTTATAGAATAAAGGTGACAAACGAGCACACAGTCCACCTGATGGTAAGTGGTTCCTGTGGCCTATAGACATCTACATCTATCTTCGTTTGCGAATTAAAATGCAGATGCGTTGTCAGCCATGAGGACTAAGATAGAATGACTCTTTTCCAGTAAAAAAGGTCTCCGGTTCTCTACACTCACTATACGAAACACAGCAGCATTAAGCTGCTATTTTACGCTGGTATTTTGTGAGAGCGAGATAGTGATAGCTGCAGCATGGATCTACCACGTATGTGGTAGAGCCATGTTGAGTTGTTTGTATTCGGGTAAGCATTATTTAAATAATTCGGTGTACCAACTCCCCGGATTGAACTAATTTGAGTATGTAATTCACCCCAACACAAACTACGTTATATGATTAATCCACAAGGGTTTTGAGTAAAGAATATCTAACACTGTATGAGGAATGAGAGGAAACAATCTAATATTTATAAAAATAATACACCCATTAGCTGAAGTGTTCCAAGTAAGTACTTATTTACGCATGTTATAATTTTAAATAGCCCACATCTTTTATAGTCAATCAAATTGTATTGCAATAAATTAATTTATTTATATGTATTAGTATTTAGGGTAACTATGTATGAATAATGAATAATACATTTTGGTAATCAGAAAGTTAAAAAAAATTGTATCACACACACTAATTGTAATTGTACAATTATTAATTTAATTTGGTTATTGTTTAACATTAACAAATATTAATAAGAAATGTTATAGCCATTTTGAAATTTAAAAATTCTACATAAACAACTATGTAAATTTTGTGTGTAACGAAACTTAATTAGATAGACCCAAAGTCGACATAAAATGGTACTTAAATATTACATTTATTAAGTATTTAGTCTTAGTTACATATCATAGACTTTTACTTATTTAT